TTGTTGTTTTCTTATTCAGACTAGTTAGGCTTGCAAAATTTTCATAAGTGTTAAAAAATGTTGGTTCTTATGTCCTATCTTGTCTCTAGTGGCTATTGTTATGTATTGATTGATTTGCTGGCTAGCTATAAGAGACAAGAAGGCCATGACCATTAATTAAAACACTTAGAAATTCCTTGGAATACATACCTAGTTTCTGCTCAATGTCAGATCGTGGAGGCTCCGTGTTTCTGCGTGGAGCCTCCGTGGCCTGGCGTAGAGCCTCCGTGCCCTGACGGTTTCGCTAGGGTTTGGGTAAAATCAAAAACAATTTTCATCTTTCCCTTTTTACCCCTCCTAGTAACTATCCTGAGTTACTAGGCTTCTCATTCACTGCGTCGTGCCCCCTGTTCGCTCTCGCTCTCTCTCACGTGTGCGCTCGCCTTCACCGTCACCATTGTTGCGCCGCCACTCCCGCCGCCGCCGCGACGTCGCCCTACTTCCCTATGTTGCGTGGGTGTTTATGGTGGTGGTGTTAGAGGTCAGGACTCAGGGGGACTCCACGGAGGAGGAAGAAGAAGACATCTTCATCGCCATCCGAGGAATCCATGCCGCCTGCCAAATCCTTGGCTCCCTGATTGCAACCGCCGTAGAAGAGCAGTCCTTGAGGCCATATGCTACCGTCGTCTTCCTTTTCTACTCTGAGTTCTCGTATCCCAGGTGAAATCCTATTTTCATCGTGGATTCAATTTTTGGGTCTTCTTTTCTGTCTATTTCCTGCGTAGATGAGTTTGTTTTTGCCTTCTAGTGCTAGATCTAGTAGTACATTGCAGTAAGATTCGAGTAGAAGGTTAAATCAAACTTAGGATGTGATTCGCCAGAGCACGGAGGCTCTAGGCCTCTACCCGGAGGCTCCGCGCCAAAGCGCGAAAGCTCCACGGTCTAGAAGGATCGACAACCTCAGTTTGATTCGAAACTCTACTCCAATCTTGTGTAATGCTGCTATTATATTTGGCATTGGTTTCTTATCTATTTCTATGCACTTTTCCTTAGATGGAAGGTGATCCAAGTCGACAAAGGGAGAAAAGATCAAAAGGGAATCATGATCCAGTAGACCAGGAGATCAGAGGTCTTGTGGTTCGAGTGCTGCAGAGTGGCAGTGAGCAGCAAGGATACAGCTGTGAGTAGTAGGCCCATGGCAGAGGCAACCGCAAGCCTCCATCTAGGAGAGGTGGAGGACAAGGCAGCGACAATGGTGCTGGGTGAGGTGCCGCTGGACATGGAGAAGGACCCGCTGATGATGGAGGAGAGAAGGGAAGACCATTCCTACTATTGGTGCTCCAGACACACCCCTTCAGTTCCTGGAGTTTGATCAGTCCTATATGGTTCAGCATTAGGGTGCCCTAGTGAGGAGAGAGCCTATCATTTATGATCATGCAGTCTAGAGGCAGCACAATAACTACCATAACTTGGGCGTGCAAGTCAAGAGAGCTAGGGCAGAAAATCCCTATGTGTGGCTGAATGACAGAGGGATAGACTACAGGTTTTGGTCTCTATTTCAGTTTGACTTCTACAAGACTATGATTCTTACCAAGGAAAAGAAGATAGTGCAGATGAAGTACATTGACTGGGATCACATTGAGAACATGAACACCCTAGATTCCAAGAGAGTGATAGATACAGTGACTGAGCATGGGCTAAAGGACATCATGGGTTTACAATATGATTGGAATCGAGAGATTCTAGCTCAGTTTCACGCCACTTTTTTCCATGATGTGGCAAATGAGACCATTGGATGATGGAAGGAGTTCACTACAAGGTAGATTTCACTACTTTTACTCGTCTTCTAGGGTTTGGGAGTGGAGATAGATATACAGACACCATTCAGACAGAGAATGTCATGAAAGCTGAGGATATTGTATTTGCATATGAGAGGAGAGATCTAGCTGATTTGAAGACAATAGGGCTGAAGTCTTTCTACTATGCCATGAACAACCTTTTTAGAGAGACAATCAACCCAAAAAGGTGGTGACTCAACTTCACTGAGGAAGTATGCTAAGAACTTGCTTGCAAGGATGGCTCCAGGGAGTGATGCTTTCTCTGTTAGTAGGTTTATTTAATGAGTTGAGTGACTCACTAGATGATGCTAGGAATGATCTCCCGTATGCTCCTTATATCATGTATATCATTAAGAGGGTGTCTAGCATTGAGTTCAAGAAGGATGTAGAGCACATGCCCTTCAAGTTGACTCGATTGGCGGACATCTGGGATGTGAGACACTTGTTGGGGGCGTGAGCACATCACCGCAGCAGCAGAGGGTAGACACACTCACAGAGCTAGTAGCAGCAGACCTTCTTCCTCCTGTCATAGGTCTAGGGGGAGCAAGCTCAAGGAGTTGCTCAAGAACATATTTTGCATGTGTCAGTATGTTGTGGATGCTGCCTATGAAGGAAGAAAGGACATAAATGACATGAAGAGGCAGCTAGGACTTGAGATCAGAGAGATCCCTCCTCCTCTAGTGTTTCCACCCTATGAGGACAATAGTGAGGATGATGAAGAGATGGAGTATCCTCATGATCAGGAGACGCTTGGTGAGAGGATGAATATCCTCAAACGTGAGAGAGGATAGTCTAGGCCACAGAGGCACACAGCTACTACACACAGGGCTGGCAGGGCTGTTGTGAGTGACAGTGATGAGGAGTCCAGTGAGAGGACTGTTTCGGGCAGTAGGCAGCAGACCAACCCGGCAAATGATGATGACAGTGACATTGGCGGTGACTGGAGCAGGGAGCAGTGAGACGACCGTGCCTTACCTCTCTTGCTCTTTCCCTTTTTGGCACCTGTTGACAAAAGGGAGAGAGAGGCAAAATTGAGATGTTTCTTTTGTGTCATTGCCGTCTTTCATCATGGTTGTATTAGTAATAGTGGAAGTTGTGAGTTGTGAGAGTCGAGGTCGTTTTCAAACTCTCTTTCTATCTTAGTGGTCTATAATAATACTTTGTTTCGCCTTTTGTGTGGCAATTGGGGGTTATGGACATGGATATGTGAACTTTATGTGTAATGGAATGCTAGAACTGTGGTAGAACCTCTTTATATTCATATGTTACTAGCATATTAGATCTGTGTGGTATTTGTTTATATCTCTGAGATGCTTTTGTTGTTGTTGAAAAAGATCTGTGTGTGCATAACGTGGAGGCTCCGAGCTCAGGCCGGAGGCTCCATGGTCTCTGAACCCAAAACTTTTATTTTGTGCATAAACCGTCATACGCATCACGGATTATTATTTGACACACTTTTTTTTGCACCCTACGATGACATCAATACAATGTATCTTTCACATTTGCTCTTAATATATGCAAAGTTGACTTGAGAAGACATTTATTTAAATTCAAATTAATATTGCATATATTAAGGGGAAGCTCTTGTATTCACACTATCAAAATCTCAATCTTTCAATTAAATGTAAGCTTTAATTGTGTTGTCAACATTTACCAAAAAGGAGGAGATTGTAAGTCCAATCAAGCTCTAAGTAGGATTTGGTGATGTTGACCACATAATTAAAGGACTAATGCCTTTTACAAGTGTTTGACAACATATCTTTAGTCGTGGGTGCAAAGAAACAAAGGAGGAGACCCCAAAACTAGAATCAATGGTTTGCAACGGCTCCAAGAGCTAGTTTAATTCATTTTATATTTTAAAATTAAGTTATAAGACAAGTCGTACTATCAAGGGGATACTAATAGTGGTCTGGGTGGAACCAAGTCCTTAAAACTCCATCTTCAACTCAAATAATGCTAGCCACAAAAAGTCAGCCGAGCTGAATTCTTATCTGCTCTGGCCTGCGCGGAACCTCCGCGTCCTGACGCGGAGGCTTCGGGGCCTGTCTGATTTGACAATTTTGTGGGTGACGTGGGTGGTATTTATACCATACCCCTTCACCCCCCAACGGTCATCTTCTTCATTCCTTCATTCCTGACGAACAAAAGCTCTCTCTCTCTCTCAAAGCTTAGTGCTCCCAAGTCTCTTGCTCAAACCTTTGTGATTCCTTGAGAGATTTGGCTCTAGAGAGTGTGAGAAAGCTTAAGAAGTTCTCCTCCGTTCTTGTGCACTTGGTGAAGCCCTAGCCCCTTGGTGTGTTCGTTACTCTTAGAGCTTGGCTCCTAGACGGCTAGCCGTCGCCCAGTAGCTCCCAATCCGCTGTAGTTGAGTACCGTGAAGTTTGTATTACCCTTGTGACTTAGTGGAACCCTCTAACCTATTGCCTTGGTGATAGGTTGGAGAAGAGGAGCGAGTTGAAAGAGACTCCATAGCCTTTGTGGCTAACCTCAACAATGTGGACGTAGACAGGCCTTTGTGGCGAGTTGAACCACGGAATAAATCCTTATGTTCACTGTGATTGCTGTTGCTGCTGCTATTACTTGTGATTTGGATTGATTTTTAAGGTTTGCATCCGATCTACAAATTCCTCATCTTCTAAGTGCAACTGACTGTTTGGATAGCTCAACATACTCCCAGGAAGGCTGGTATTACATTTGATCTATTTTTTATTAGTTAAATTCCGCAGTAGATCGATTTCATACCCTGATCCCCAGAGGTTCCATGATCAGTCCCAGAACCTCCACTCCCTGAAACCTCCACGCTCAAACCCGGAGATTCCGCGTTCTGACTGTTTTCATAAGTTGATTAAATTTTAGAAAAAGGCCTATTCACCCCCTCTAGGCCACTTGCTGGATTCTTTCACTTATCCGGTGATCTCGACGGTGCCTAGTCCGATGACCGTGACGGCACCTTCCCTGCCTGTGCCTCCATGGCCGTGAGTGGCCACTGCCGGAGCGTGTCCACGCTAGGGGGCCGCCGTGCCAGGGGGCAGGGGGCTGCGTCGAGGGGGAGGGGCACCCCCTCACCAGGGGGGCGTGCGGGGCGGTGGCCGCGCCGCACACGCGAGAGAGGGTGACACAAGGGAAGAAGAAGAAACTAGTGGAGAGAGAAAGACGGGGTTGCCAAGGAGACAGGGTGCCTCCATGGCCGCGAGTTGTGTTACCGCCTTGGCGACGTCGTCCCCTTCATCACCGCTGAGTACGACATGGACATCAAGGACGGAGGACCTCACCTCGGACTCGGCGGACAGGCTCATTGGGCGCGTGGAGGAGCAGGGGATCTCCGACGTGGAGGAGCAGTGGATCTCCGACGTGGAAGAGGAACAAGGGGCCTCTGGTGGCCAGGCGCGTCGGGAGCGGAGGAGGAGAGGCGAGCGGTGACCGGTAAGAGGTGAGTGCCGAGCGGTGATAGAACTTCCCACGCGAGCTGAGCCAAACCTGGCTTCCAAGGAACGACCATCCCCTAGGTTTTTATGGAGCCAGGCTAAGAGGTGGTGGGTGGCTTCTTGAAGCCTAGCTTTAGGCTCTAAACAGACAACCAAACAGCCCGAAGGTGACTTCCTGAAGCTAGGTTGGAAGTTGGCCACCCAATCAAATGGAGCCTACGGTGTTACTACTACCATCAGGCCCCTCAAAAGGGCCTATGTGGATTGGAGGATTGGGATAGGATTTTTGTAGGATTCCACTTCCTAAGGATTCTTTCCTACACACTTTTTTGGTTCACGGGAAAAAGAAAGGGAAAAATTCATAGGATTGCTTTCCTATGCCTCAGTTTTACAGGAATACAACCATGAGGTCGGACTACTTGGAAAAATTCCTGGCGCGAAACGAAATCCTTGCCGCGCAACGCTCGCGCCTGCTTGCACTGCTTTTCACGGCCGCCATGCATCTCGCACTTTGGGCCGCAGTCATCCAAATCCAAACCATCCAGAAAAAAGAGGGAGGAGGCCCTCCTCTCCCCATAGCCGCTGCCACGCTTGGGGCAACAGCGGCGGCCCGCCCCCACCACCCGGCGTGGCATCCCGGCACCAGATCCGACGATCGGAGTTGGCATCGGTGCGCAGCTCCAGTAGTTTTGGGGCCATACTCGCTGGTGGCGGCTGCGACAGTGCTCTCATCGGCGGCAGGTCCGTCCGCCCGCCGCGAGCTACACGAGGTCGCCCTCATCCCTTGCCGGCGTCCATCTGCCCACGGCCGACCGCGCCATGTCCGCCGCCGCTTACCTGACGCGAGCCTCCTCATCTCCGGCGTTGCGACGATGAGAATGGGCGTGACCACCTCAACCACGGCCAGCAGGATTGCAAGTAATCCGTAAGTTTCTTGTCCATCTCCTACTAACTTCTCAGACGAATGTACATTTTGATGATGACCATTGGACTTCAGATGCTAGTCAATATACAGGTAACGCTTCTTATTCAGTTGTTCCTGTTAATTTTGTAAGTTTTTAGCTCCATGTTGATTCTGAAACCAAACCTGTACAACATTAGGATCCCAAAGAGGGACAAATGGAATCACCAGATGCAGTTGTTCCTTTTGATCTTCTCAAAGAACATGATGTGCCAGGATTTCGGACACATAATGCGTGGAGTAAGGACGCATGGACAACCATTGTTAATCGCCTGAATACAAAATTCAACACATCTTTTTCACTTGGCCAAGTCAAGCAGAAGGAGCAAGATTTAAAGAAAGCATATCGCAGTGTTAAAGATTTGGTGGCTGAAAGTGGTTTCGGATGAGATAAAAAGAGAATGATGTTGCATGCACCTCCAAGTGTTTGGGCCAGTTTTGCTGCTCGCAAGAACAGCAAGGATGCCCTCCATTGGCAAGGCCGGTCATTCCCTTATTATGATGCTTTGGCTCAACTCTATGACGGTGAGACTCACATAGTTTTAAGTATCAGTGATTCAGTGTTTTTTTTCTTCGAAAATATGGTAATCAAGTTTTGAATTCAACATCATTTTCTAGGTCGTCACGCAGAAGGGAGAATTCGGCATGGCATCGACCATTATGCAAGCAAGTCAAAGAATGCATCAGTTCCTCCCACACAAGCAGCACATGTGGCTAACACATATCAGACACCATCTCCTAAGTTTAATCTTCCTGGCCAATCAAGTTTGTAGTTTTGTTTCGATGAAGATTTTCAGGAGGCCAATTTGGATATTTTGCAGCATTCATCAACTCCTGTACAGCACATGCAAGTCCCACCTAACTCCACACAACTACCATCAGAGGTTCCTGAATGTCGACGTGGAAAGAAACAGAAGACCAAGTCCACTAGCCCTGATGATGGATTTCATGAGAGATATCTGAAGCTGAAGAGGGAAGAAATAGATCGATTTGCTTCTATTGAAGAGAAGAAATTGGAGGATCCATACAGCATCAACAAGTGCATCACAGTGCTTGAAGGTTTAAATGGTCTACAAATGGCAGATATACTGGAGGCAGCAGATATCTTCAAAAATAAGGAGAACAGAGAAGTTTTCTTGTCATTCTCTTCTGATGCATTAAGGTTGGCTTGGATTATAAGGGAGATTGGGCGTGACCACCTAGACCTTCAGGATTAGGAGTTTTCATTTGCTGCTAGATGCACTTTTGGGTTACAGGAATTACTTTTGTCAACCAGATGGCATGTTCTTTTATTTGCCTTCTAGGTTGCTAGCTGGGAAGCATGGTTCTAGCTAGATACATTTTATTTTGGTAAAAAAAATGAAACATGCAGGTAGTGACTTGAAGTAGAATATTATATTAATTAGAATATATTATATTAGGAGTACAAGGGTAGCAAATTAGCGGCCTGATCGCTGGGCTGGGGCTGGCTGGCCAGCCCCCTCACATGGTTACTATTCACGCGAACCAGCCAGCAGTACTTCTCTCTCACGTAAACGAACCAGCAACGATATGATCCAGCCAACCGAAAAGGCTCTAGGAGTACAATGGTCGTAGTTGACCTTGAAGATCATATCAGTGAAATATATTATATTAAGTCCTTCATGCTATGTAATGATCCCACATCCGCCGTGCTATGTCATCTCGCTTGCGGTTTCCAGCTTCTCTGGAGTTATTAAATGCCTGTATATCACCAATGTAGTTTTGGTCTCCATTTGGCACATCAACAATCTGGTCTGGATCAATCTCTGCATTGGAATTATTTGGCCACAACATATCACCATTGTGTAGGCGTATGAAATTCTGCAAAACACAACAAGCAACTGATATGTCAACTTGTTTATTAACTGGGTAGTGTGAGCCGGTCCTCAGAATAGGAAATCTCTTTTTTAATATTTCAATTGCTCTCTCAATATGGTTTCGCAGCTGTGCATGTCGAAGGTTGTACAACTCCTTGTAATCACGTGGCTTTTGTCTAGCTCTGCCTGGTTCCTGTAGATGATATCTTGTCCCACGATATGGGGCAAGAAACTGTGTTGTGTTTGCATAACCGACATCTACAAGAAAAAAATTACCAGGAGGTACTTCAAAACCATGATTGAGTGAATCTTGTAGAACCCTTGCATCTGAAGCTGATCCCTCCTAGCCAGCATGTACATGTACAAATTTTAGGTCAAAGTCACAAGCTAGCATTACATTCTGAGATAGTGTTTGCTTCCTGTTCCGATATGGTTCTTGTTGATCTAATGGAAGTATCATTGGTATGTGAGTCCCAACATTACAACCGATACAATCCTACAATAGGAAGAAATATTCTTGTATTATAAGTGATCTGTTTAACTTTCTATAAATTTGAAGAATCGAATAGTGCATTACTTCAAACCTGAAAGAAGGGGTGAAATTTTGGTCTTCTCAAGATCTGGTGAGGATGTAGGGACGGTGGACGTATATATGTGCATGTAAGTTGTGTAACTGCATCAAGCACCGCTCCAAAATACCGACTTATCGTTTCTCCACCGTGTTGAAACTCATATTGCAAAGTCTCATTACTTGCATTTTTTGCTAAGGCATACATGAATATAGCAACTTTCTCTTCTACTGAGATAGCTCTTGAATCAGCAAGTAATTGTTTGTCACGCAAAATGTGGACCAGAGCTTGGAAGACTTGAACTTCCATACGGAAGTTTTTTTTGCTAAGGCTCTCATGGTCGGTTAAGATTTCATTGACACGGTTGCCCCTGATAGTTTTGATGTATGTATGAGATGCTTACTAGATGATGGTTGTGATGAATCTGCTATGCTAGGGAGAATAAATACATGAACTCATCGTCATCTTGGGAACGGCGTCGATAGTTTGCATCCATTTCCAAATGTATTATGTGTTTCTTGTCCCGGTACTACAACCTGGTTTTGGAGATGTGCAAAAACAAATAAATTTCACTACCAAGACTTACGTATACAGGAGAAAAACAAAATTATGAGATTCATGACTCACCGTATGAAGTATCTGGTCAGAGCTCTTCAAGTGTTTGGAGACCTAACTGTGTGGGCTTGGAGATGAGCTTGTGTTTAGAGACGAACTGTGTGCTTGGAGATGAACAGGTGCTGTGGTTTGTACAGCCGTGTGTGTGTGTATTCATGTATATATATGCACATCAACACTTGCAACATCTAGCTTCTTGCTTTCAATGCTCAAACGGCTAGTTCAGATTCCTATGTTTCACCTGAGTGGCCAAAGGATGTCCTGGATATTTTGCTATGGATTGAATTCCTATAGAATTAGAGGAACTCAAATCCTACATTTTTCCCCCACCAGGAGAACGGAGACACCTGTAGGAGTTCAGGTGTACTACTTGTTTAGATATGATTTTTTTATTCTATCAGAAGAGTCGGTGTTTGCAGGTTAATTATGATAGGATTCAAATCAAAGAGGGAAAAAAGATTGATTATAGTGTTGCGCTATTGGTGTACAGTACAATAACTAAATGAACATGATTGATCGAATAGTGGTGTTCAAGCATCTTCCATCCTTGGAGATGTTGCCGTCACCCGTCAGGACCTGTTGTGCATAGGTGATGTGCTAGTGCTAGGCAACCAGTTGCTGACACGGAATGGGGCCCACCGTGCACTTTTTTCTTCCTTTGTTTTCCCTGCATGCCCTGTTTTGGGGTTCTGTCTGGCCTTGGAGTATATACAAAACTGACTCAACTAAAAGCTGCTGATTTTCAACTAAACAGCACTGCTTTTTTATTAAATTATTAAAAAAGAGCTAAATGAAGAGACCGTAGTGCTTAAGCAATCTGTGCTAGTTATTGTCCCTATCTCTATTTTTTTTCTGCTCCGATCCGCTGCATCAAGGCATGTTTTGTGCTAGTATGATGCACCCAAGATTATCTACTTTTACTGGATCGATCAGCTGCTCTTCTGTTCCGTAATGTGTACGAGGATTTTTCAGGATGTGAAGTAGGAATTTTACAGAACCCAATTTTCAGTAAAAAAAATAGAAAAAAAATCCTGCACTCTAAAGACCTAAAATTGTTTGGGGTAAGGCGTGACGCTGCCATGCCTTTTCGTTGTAAGAATGTCACCTACATCTCTGTGCAGCACTTGGATTGGAATGGAGGAAACCGAGTTCTGTGGGAATGACACCCAGCATGTCCGGTTGCGTTTATATGATAAAGCTTTGCACAAGTGGATGCCCCCAAAATGAAATAAATGTATGAAACAGATTATGCTGCTATTTAGATTTGAACAGCGACTACAAATTTAGGTATGCCCCAAAAACGAAATAAATGCATGAAACACTGCTGTTTAGATTTGAATAGCGACTACAAATTTAGGTATATGCCCCCAAGACGAAATAAATGCATGAAATAGGTTGTGCTGCTATTTAGATTTGATTAGCGACTACAAATTTAGGTATCATATAAAAATAAAATTGCTGATTTTTCAGGTACCCGCCCGACTATTCAACCTTTTTACATTATTGACAATACCCTTCCTTTTCCTACACTACACAGACCACACAGCAGCAGCTGCCTGTCACTCTATCACTAACTACTAAGGCCTTATTTAAATCTATGGTGTAAAGTTTTTGGCTGTCATATCGAGTGTTACATGGATGTATTGTATGGGGTGTTAAGATACTAATAAAAAAATAAATTATAGAATCCATCAGTAATTCACGAGACGAATTTATTAAGCCTAATTAATCCGTTATTACCACATGTGTTACTGTAGCACTACGTGTCCCATCATGGGCTAATTAGGCTTAAAAGATTCGTCTCCTAAATTAGTCGCAAACTGTGCAATTAATTATTTTTTTAGTTTATATTTAATACTTTATACATGTGTCTAAATATTTGATGAGATAAGGAGTAAACTTTAGAGGAGAAACTAAAGAAAGCCTAATACTAGCGGGTCCCTCTGAAGCTTGAGCTGGCCCACATGTCAGCCCCACCTTCCCTGCTCAGTTATGTCGGCCTTTTGTTAATTCCGTGACAAGACTAAGCAAGCAGATCAGACGACGATGAGTCGCTCTGCAATGGGAATATGTTTGTCTTGCAAGCTGAGGCCATCTGCTGCTGCAATTCATTGTTCATTCCATAAAGACCACTTTCCTCTTCTTCTTTGGAACACAAATGGGCGTTGCAGCTGGAAATCTCTTAGGACGCGAAATATGTACCTTGTTTTCTTCGTTTCTTTACGCATGAAGCAAAGATAAAATAAAGGCAGAATAGCTGTTTTGGTCCTCAACTATTACTCGAGAATCAGTTTAGTATCTGAATTTTTAAAATAGCCGTTTTAATACTCAAACTTTACTTTTAGGCTCAATTTCATCCTAAAACTACGAAGATGATCGTTTTAGTCCTCAAGCTTTGCATTTTGGCCTCAATTTCATTTAAAAACTATCAAAGTGTATTTTGTGCTTTAAGCTTTTATTTTCAACTCAACTTTGTCTACGTTCTACGTGGAAAGCTGCATTGTTGCACCTGGTTAGTTCCAACACCACCGACGATTGGAGATAGAAAAATAATATTCATCCAAAAACTCTTTCGTGGCCATTAATAATTCCAAGATATTATTTTTAGTGTTACCTTGTAATGGTACCATTTATATATAAATGATATTTGTGGGAGTAATTGCAGTTGCATCGAACACTATTTATTCTTAGATATATTGAAACAATAGCAGATCTATAATTTTGATAATTTATGGATGAAATTGTGTCTAAAATATAAAGTTTTCTTTTTGAATAGACAAAATTGAGTTGAAAATAAAAGTTAAATGCACTTTGATGGTTTATGGATGAAATTAAGCCAAAAATGCAAAATTTGAGAATTGAACCGGTCATTTTTATAGTTGTAGGATAAAATTGAGCCTAAAATTAAAATTTGAGGACTTAAACGATCGTTTTAAAAGTTTAAGGACGAAATTGAGCCACGAGTAATAGTTAAGGGACCAAAATAGCTATTGTGCGTAAAATAAAATGAATTGTTGTGACTATATATCTGGTAAACTGCTACGATGATTCCAGACTTCAGTTGAGCCGCCCTTTGTATGATCATGACATTTTTTTTCTTTTCATTTCAGGAGAATGGAGACATATGTAGGAGTTTCAAGTGTACTCCGTCCCTCCTATAATATAGTACATTCTAGAATTTATAATTTATCCTCAAATATAATACATTCTAGAAGAGAAAAAACAATTTTACATTAAATATTTTTCATTTATCAACCAATCACCATTAATCGTGTTAATGATAGCGTCTAAGGGTATCTACGTCTTTTATGTTCTCTCTTAATTTATTTTAAAATTCCTAGATATGTTTTCTGATGGTATCATAAGAATCGGAAAAAAAGGAGATTGATTATCGTGTTGCGCTACTGGCGTACATAAATGAACAGCATGATTGATCGAATAGTTAATTGCCGTGCAATTAGTTTAAGCATCTTCCATCCGTGGAGATGTCACCGTCAGGACCTGTTGGTCACCAGTTGCTGGCACAGACCGGGGCCCACCGCACGCAATTTGTTTCCCTACCTGCCCTGTTTTGAAGTTCTGTCTGGTCTATGGTCGGGTTTGGCGGAGATTTCGTGGTCACCAGTAGCATCCTCGATCTATAGCTGTATATATACTGCTGTAATATTAAGGACTTACAAAACTTATTTCATTTAATTTTAGATTAATAAAAATGTTTAAACCATATTAATTGGAGTACTTTGCAAATTATAGAGCTGTGCCAATCCAGCATTAGATGTTTTTTCGTGCTCTGCACAAGGCATGTTTTGTGTTACGGGGTTGACACAAGAATTGCAGTGGACTTAAAAAAAAAACAATCGTGGGAGGTGGACGTGAGGAAGCGATTAGAATGTTTGGCTGGCTATAATATTTAGAAGCTTTGGTTTACTTCCTCGGATAGAGAAATCGATGGTTGCATTGTTTTTTAAGCACTTTTATATTTCAGGTGCTTAAATTTTAAATGATTTCAGGCAATACTCTTGTACCACCGACTAGTACAAGTAAATTATTAGTTTTGTTTATTATTTGTCTTTGTGCCATACATATCAAAATTTTATCCTTGTTCGACTACAGAAACAGTTGTAAATTACCTTTGTGCCGACATAAATCAGAGTTGGCGAGGTTTGTGGTTTTGTCTAATGGGTTTTTTATTCTTAAAACAAAAAATCGCAGATCGTGGCTATAGAAATTGCATCAGCCTAAAGCTATAATTTTATTATAAAATATATATACAATAACCGTCTATAGAATGAAGTTTTTTTTGAACTATTGGAATGAAGTGTTGAAGGCCTATATATTTGGTGCAAGAACGCCATTGTCACTTTCTATTCCCCAGTCGACGTAGTTTCATCTTTCTCACCCCATCACCAGAAACCTCATCGCCCGACACCTCACGCCTTTTGTAGAATCTTTTTCGCATGACAAGTTGACAACAAGTTTGATGTTGGGTTAGAGGATTGTTTTCTTTGAACTAAAAGTGCCGCGAGTATCCTAATTAGTGAGTACTCCCTCTGTCCCCAAGCAGGTGTCATTCTCATTTCTCGAGTAGTCAAACCTTTTTAATTTTGACTAAATATACAAAAGTGTAGGGGACCAATATTAGGGTACTCAAAGAGGAGGAGCTAACAACCGTCGAACGTTGATTCATCCGCACA